ACGAGACAGACACGAGACAGACACGAGACAATGACATATCAGGGGACCAACCTCCATCTTTACCTGATGGACTGAGAACCCGTGTGTCAGCGGAACTTGGTGCGGCGACAGCGAAGGAGGCTGCAGAAGGTTTTCCTGAAGGTGACGTTGCAGAGGGCGTAGCAGCCCGGGTTGATTGCGCTGTTGATGTAACAGAGCCAGTATCCGATGGTCCACAGGCTGTTTGGGATACAGAAGTGACAGAAGGTTGCAATCACGGCCATGATGTTGTAGGGCGTCCAGGTGAGGATGAAGGCCAGCAGGATGGCCAAGATGGTCTTGGTGACCCTCCTCTCCCTTGCCATCACTCGATGCATCCTAGTTTCCTGGGACTTGAAGCTGGGACAGGTGGAAAACGCCATAGACGCCCTCCTGTGGAGGTCGGTGTTGGACGAGGAGTCACTCTCAATTTTGTTGTTATCTTCACATCTGGTGCGACACTGCTGACGGGACAGACAGATGTCTGCGAGCTCTGACGTGTCTCCAGGACTTCTGGACACCCTCCGGTTCCTTCTGGTCTTTGGCGTGCTGGACTCTGATTGGTTCAGAGACAGGTCTGAGCAAGGGTCGCTGGTCACCCAGCTCCATCGCTTAAAAAGGAAGTCTTTAATGGACAGACTGGATGTCCTGAGCGTGCCCTGCGCTGACTGGAGACCGCTCAGTCGTTTGCGGCTGCCGGAGGACAGACGGCTGTACAGGACGATCATAACGATGGCCGGGAAGTAGAAGGAAGGAAGCGTCGTCCCCAAAGTGACGGCCGGACTGGCCAGCAGCTGCGTGTAACACTCTCCATCGGGGACGAATCGTTTGCCCCCGACGTTCTGCCAGCAGAGGATGGCGGGGGCCCAGAGGACAAACGACAACAGCCAGGCTGCTCCAATCATCAGAATGGCCATCCTTCCGGTCCGGCACGTCGGGTAACTGAATGGGCGTGTCACGCAGAAGTACCGATCCAAACTGATGATCAGCAGGTTCATGACAGAGGCACTGCTCACCACGTAGTCCACAACCAGCCACATGTCGCAGAGCGCTGCCCCCAGTGGCCAGCGGCCCAGCAGCAGGTAGAGAGCGTACAGGTTTATGGAGAAAAGGCCGATGATCAGGTCGGCCACCGCCAGGCTCAACAGGAAGTAGTTGTTGACGGTCCGCAGATGGCGATTTACTTTGATGGAGATGATCACCAGCGTGTTGCCGAGCACAGTGACGATGCTTAGGGATGCCGTTACCATGACGATGAGGATGAGCTGACCGGTGCCGTACGGACACACTGCTCTGATTGGAGGCTGATAGGAGGCGTTGATGCAGGAGCGGAACCGAGCAGAGACGTTGATGTCTGATCCAGGTGCTTGTTCCATGTCTCCTTCAAAATATAACACAGCCAATCACAGAGCTTCACATCCTGTTACACACGTTGCTAATTTAATTTGTAAAAACATTCAGCTGCGAACGCCGAGTCCAAACGTGCCAGAGAAGCAACTGATGAAACAATCAATCATAAATTACTAAAATATTTAAATCTGAAGTTCTAGTTTGTTCTAGTTTAAAAGAGCTGGTAGTTAATGACTCTGAATGAATGAATGAATGAATGAATGAAGAACTGATCAGAAACATTCAAATCAATCTGATGATCAGCTGTTCTCTGGACTGACCACCAGCGGGCAGCGTTTATCCCTGAATGATCCAGAGGGTGGGTTAGGGTTAGGGTTAGGGATCTGATCTGATCTGATCTGATCTGATCTCACGGTTGTGATCCAGAACAGAACAGTGACCCCTGACTCAGAGTTAAGCCCCGAGCTTTACACTGCAGCCCTCATATCTCACAGTGAACCAAGTTTCACAGCTGGACCATGATCACTAGACTTGATACACAACATGTCTCCTCATCTTCATCAGTGACTCCTCAGTTCATGTGTCTGCTCCTTCATCTCTATCAGACATGTCCTCATGTACAAATACTTCAAACATGAAGTTAAACTGTTTCTTCTAATGTAGAGAATCTGTTGATGTCTTCAGTTCATCAGCATCTATTGTCCTCGTGTCCTGGAGACAGATCCTCACATGTGACTCTGAGCTTCAGTTACTGCTCAGAAAGTGTCTCTGTAGTTTTAACTTGTTGAGTGAAGGACAGAGGACGTTGCTGCTTGTTGACATCGATGAGACAAAATGATTTATGAATATATATCAATAAAATGTGATTATTCTATTAAAAATCCAATGCATGTTTACAGTGTGGTGAAAATATGTTCACAATAAAAGTCCAGCAATAAAAACATTAGTTATTAAAATAAAGTCAAAGTAGTTCTGACTGATTGTTTGTCTTTTCAGAATAAAGTGAGTAGATGAATGTTGTTCAGACTGAACCAGTTGAAACAGATTTGAATCCACTCACCTCTGATGTTCTCCTCAGTCTGACAGGAAGCTGCAGCTGCTGCTTTATGCAGCACGGACCCCGCCCCCACATGACACTAACCCTAACCCCGCCTCTGTTACAGACAACGCTTCTACATTATCGACCAATCAGGAGACAGGTCCATCAACTTCACCTGTCAATCACAAACTTTTCACACAAACTGATTCTAAAAAGACGTGAGTTCCACATATCCAGGATGTCCGTCAGTGTTCCAGCTGAACTTAACAATCACAGTCAGGCTCAGTCGTGACGCTGGTTAACTCGTTAAGTTAACTCAGGTTTGACTGACAGCAGAGCCTCATGTTTCACAACGAGGATCAAACTGTTCCAGCTGCTAAAAGCAGGAAGAACAGCTGGAAACCATCTGGATTGTGTCAGGTGGGTTCTGTTGAAGCTCCAGCAGCTGACAAAGGTTCATCCTCTGAGGAGAATCTAGATCTTTCAGAAACTCCTCAGAGGATCTCAGAGGATCTTGTGGGTCTCTGAAGACCCTGGTCCTCCTCAGAGACTGGAACGATCCACAGCAGCTCCACGATAACAACATGATGTCATGGTTCAAAGGAGGGGAGTGGTCAGTGGGCGGAGCTTTATACTGTTTGATCTCTTATCTCCAG